GGTGGTGGGGCTGTGTTGTGTTGTGTTGTGTTGTGTTGTGTTGTGCTGTGCGTGGCCACAACTGGCCACAACAAGCCAGTCTAGCCGGCTCCATCTCACGCTGTCCGTCACCCCAACCGAGGCCCGTCGGAGGGGTCTGTCTTGTCACCTCGGCCTCTGTCCGATGCGTGTTGCTACTTGCTCGCCGACGTGTCGGTTCGTCGTCAGTCACGGCGCCATTGCGCTGCTCAGCCTGTCTCCGGCGACCGGTGGCTGGCCGACCGGTAGCGAAAAGCCACGACAACCCGGTCGCCGGAGCAGTCGGCAGCCGAGTGCTCCCTTTGTACACCTTTCGAGGCTGGGCCCTCCACGACAACAGCGCCCATCAACACAAATCCGCGGGTCGATGTCGAGTGTGCACATTCACCACTCAGCAGAGCCACAAAACCCATTTGTCCCGACTCTGTCTCGACAACACACACACACACACACACACACACGCCATGCGATTGTGCAGTGAGAAAGTAAAAGTAAAGAGATACAGACTGCAACCTGAACCAATGGGCTGCTCGAACAGGGTCACAAGGCGCCAACTAGTCGACCCGATCAGTCGGCATGACACTGTTCGCCGCTCAAACGAGCCATACAACTCTGGTCGACATTGTCTCCTCGCCGTTCTCGCCGTTGGCGGCGAACGCCGCTCGTTGTCAGGGCTCGGCGACAATTTCGCCCCGCCGCTCTGCCTGCAACCGGGGCAACCGAGGGCGTCGATTGCCGTGTTGCCGGGCTGCACTCGTCTGCTCCTTTTGTCCAGGATCCCGCACCGTCATGCCCAACGCCTGCTCTGCCGCCTCGTGACCGGCGCTGCTCTCGGCCGGTCTTCAGGTCGAAATGGTCGCCACGTGACCTGACGTGCAGTTGCAGCGAAAGTCTGTCCGCCTGCTGTCCACTGTCGGTGTGTGCATACAGGCAAAAAGTAAAGATATACCATATTGAAGTGTAGTTTGAAGTGCGCAATTCACAACGCCCCG